TTGATCCCTGGCCCTGGTTGGGGTTGTGCGGGAGGCAACCAGTTGATGTGTTTCTCTCTCTCTCTCTCTCTCTTTCTCCCTCCCTCCCACTCTATCTGAAAAAAATCAATGGAAAATTATCCTTGGATAATTTTAATGAGGATTAAAAAAAATCAGGAAAACATAGACTCTATCATGTAGAAGATCCAAGCTGAGCAAAGATAATAGATTGAGTTGAAAATCTTTTTACTAAGAAATCAGCTGAAATAAAGCTAAATTAAATAAGAAAAGAGATTAAATTAAATTTAAAAAATTAGCATTAGAGGCACTAAAGTGTAGAATTTAAACTAACGAAAATGAAATTAGTGATGTAGGAAAACAACTTAAGAAGCTGTGCTGGTGTGTGAAACAGAATAAAGAAAATAAAATGATGAAAAAAGTAAATAAATCCCATGGAGGAAAGAGGTTTTAATGTGAATTTTTAAAAAGAAATGCTTGAGCCCTGGCTGGTTTGGCTCAGTGGTTGGAGCGTTAGCCCACGGACCAATGAGTTGCGGGTTCGATTCTGGTCAAGGGCATGTACCTCGGTTGCGATTCATCCCAGACCCTGCTTGGGGTTGTGTGGGAGGCAGCCACTCAATGTATCCCTTTCACGTCGATGTTTCTCTCTCTCTTCCTTTTTCTCCCCCTTACTCAATCTGAACAAAAGTGGAAAAATGTCCTCAGGTGAGGATTAAAAAAAATGCTTGAAATAAGAAAACTGATCATAACAATGAATTGACTAAAAATGAACATTTGCAGTTACTGCTTGCTTATATATTTGCAAATTTTGTTCCCCTTGGAGAGAGTTTACAGATCCTGAGTGATAGTGTGGCACTAATAACTAGGGAAATATATAGTCAAGTATTTTAGAATTTAAGATATGACTTCTACTTTTTAAATTACTAGAAAAAAACAAAAGGTCAAAGAAAAATATTTCTTATAGCAAAAGCTAGATGATAGAAGAAATAGCAAAAAAAAAAAGTATGAAAATATGAAAAAGCATGAAATAAGATCAGGCATATTAGTGACAGGAAATATAAATTGGTTAAGTTCCACTATTAGAAACTAAAACTTCTGGTATGGTTGAGTAGGCTCCTAGCTGAATGCCCTACCCGCAGAGAGCAATAATAAATTCTGGACATAACATATATTTGAAAGTCCTAGAGAGTGGAAAAAGGCAGGCAAATTCTAGAAGGTAAACAAAACTTGGAAGAGTTTCTAAAATGGAGAGAATTTTCTGTTTTTTAAATGGTTATTAGCTTTAGAACAGGTATAGCCAGTGCTACGTTGAGTGTCTGAAATTATGATAGGAAACTCCCCGTTATATGGCCTGAGACCCAGCTTACAGAGTTTGGGGCAAGCACTGCTGCTTAAGTATGAGAAGTGAATCCCAGAGAGAAATCGATTGATACAACCCAAAGTTCTGTGTAAATCCTACCTAAATCTCTGACTGACTTCTAAACCATATGTTTACAGGGTAGACTATAAGCTCACCTAACTGAGGATAGGATACTGATCTGAGATTTGAGTTTGTAGTTTGAGTCCAATCAAGGTAATTTCCTGCTAAGAGAGAAATATCAACATTCTTCAGAAAATCAAACAGAATCCATAAGGTCCAGGATACAATTCCAAAGTGAAGAATGAGAAAAATATGATCTATCCTCAAGAGAAAAAACAATTGACCGAGACCAACCCCAATATAACCCATGTTTTGGAATTAGCAGACAAAGACTCGAAAGCAACAACTATAACTATAATTGTTGGGGAAATGAGGTAAAGAAAATGTCCCCAATAAAATGAAAAGATAGGAACTTCTCAGCAAAGAAATAGAAACCAGAAAAAATACCAAATTTAAATTCTAGAACTAAAAAAGATAATATATTAAAATTCACTTGATGAGCTTAGTAGCAGAACGGAGGTAACAGAGCAAAGAGCCAGAGAACTTGAAATTATCCAGTGTGAAGAATAGATAATAGAAGAAAAGAAATAGAGCCTTAACAATTTTTAGAACCATAACAAGCATTCTCACATATTTCTAATTGGATTCCCAGAAGACAAGAAAAGATAATGGGGTAGAAAACTTGTGAAGAAATAATAAAATTTTCTAGTCTAGGGGAAGTCATAAATTTACAGATTCAAGAAGGCTCAGTGAACTTCAAGCAGAATAAATATAACAAAACTATGCTTAGGCACATTGCAATAAAATTGCTAAAAACGTAAGGTAAAGAGAAAATCTACAAAGCAGCCAGAAAAAAATGACATTAATCATGGGGAACAATGATTATATTGTGACAACTCCTATTAGAAAATATAGAGGCCAGAAGCAATAGAAAATCATCTTTAAAATGTTGGGGTGGGAGGGTGGGGGGAATTTTCAACCCTAGAATTTTATATCCAGTGAAAATTTCCTTCAAGAATGAAGACAAAATAAAGACATTCTGAGATAAAAGAAAACTGAAACAATTCATCACCATCAGACCTACTCTACAAGGTATTCTAAAAGAAGTTCTTCAGGCCCGGCTGGTGTGGCTCAGTGGATTGAGCACCCTCCCATGGACTGAGAGGTCCCGGTTGCATTACCTGTATGGGCACAAGCTGGGGTTATGGGCTTGATTCCCGGTGGGGGTCATGCAGGAGGCAGCCACTCGATGTGTCCCTTTCACGTTGATGTTTCTCTCTCTCCCTCGCACTCTATCTGAACTAAAATGGAAAAATATCCTCCGGTGAGCATAAAAAAAATGTAAGCAATAACTTATGTTGAATTTTAAAATAATATTTAGTAAATAATGACAAAAGTTGATATAAATATATAAAATCTTTATGTCTAAGAAATATAATATTAAACAACAAATATTAACAATTTTGTTAGCCAAATAACATTTCAGGAGATGAATCTATTGCATTGATAATCAGCATATTATTTGAATTGCAAAAAACTCTTCAATTTAATGAGTACAGTCCTTTTTCACTTAAGTGTCCTATAAAATCCTAAAGGTTTTCAAGATGAATTCTGCTTAGAAAATAATTCTCAGAGCATAAAGTTTGAATTATATATCCTTGTAAAGGCTGAACTTTTAAAAAAAAGTTAACCTTTTAAAAATGAAATCTTAAAGACTTAAAGGCACTGTTATTCTTCAACTTTGCTCATGAGTAGAAATCTTAATCAAGAATATTACAATGGGATTTTACATCTCTCTGTCATTGGCCAACTAAAAGGTGTTAGTTACATCTCAGAGCCTCATACGTCCATAAAAAAAGATATTCCATGAGTAAGACTAAAAGATTACCTTAACATCAATTTACATTAGTGTAATATTTTAATTTTAATTCTATAACATTGGTTTCTCTGACGTTCATTAATGTTGTATATGTTTCCCCCCAATAAATTTTAAAAGAACTTATTGAGTCATAATTGACATACAATAAATGGCATATATTTAGAGAATACATTTTTTGAAATATTAACATAGGCATGTATCTGTGAAATCACTACCACAATAAATATAATGAACATTTCTATCACACCCCAAACTTTCCTCAGCCTTGTTTTTCATCTCTTCCTGCCACCCCTGTCCCACATCCCCCTTTTCTGGGCAACCACTGATTTGCTTTTTGTTACTATAGATTTGTTGGCTTTTTTTCTGGAGTTTTGTATAAGTAGAATCACACAGTATATGCTCATTTTAGGGGGGGGGGGGCGTCTGACCTCTTTTACTCTGCATAATTATTTTGAGATTCATCTATTTTTTGTGAATGAATAGTTTATTCTTTTTATTGATTGCTGAGTAGTATTTTGTTGTACAGATGTCACAGTTTATCCATTCACCTAATGACAGTCCTTTGGATTGCTTCCAGTTTTTGGCTATTACAAACAAAGTTGAAGTTTTTAGCTACTATGAATAGCTATTATGTATAAAGCTGCTATAAACATTGAGTATGATTTTTAAATTATTTTATTTTCAATTTTTACCCCTTACTGGCAGTCACGGCTGTCAACTCTTACCATGTAGCAGCATTTTTCTTCCCCAGCAACTTGGTAATTAGGGAAGACCATGAAAATACCTAACTTTAAACTCATTTTACTTAAGGTATTAATTATAGGAAAGAAAAGCTCTCATTTTGAATTTTGAAATCCTTATGGCCTGGTCAGCATTATTACCTATTATAATATTCCTAAGTAAAAATGTTAAATGTAACTGAATTAAAGCCTCTAGTCCTTAATTTACCAGAGCTCATGCAAAATACTTTCTCCACTAAATTGATATTATGGTGAATATTTTTCTAAGGAGAATAAATGTTTCCTAATGACCATATTTTATTTCCATAAGTAAATGTGGCAGTTGAAGTCTTTCTTAGTTATCAACTTTTTTCTAAACAAAGAAAGATAGAAAGGATCCATACAGTACTTTAAGGGAAATTGAGGCACATAAGCTAATCAGTGTTTTTTATTATTGAGGAAACTTTTTACAGTTCTCATTTTTATAAATACCTTTTATTTTTGAAATTTCATTGCTTTATAGAGTTGATTTTAAATGGAATGTTTTATATGTAATAAAATTTCAACCTCTTGAAGAGATATCTTCATTTTAAAAGAAAAATATACAAAGTTTAAAATTTGTTGCTCCTTTCCACTTGTTTGCTCTTTATAATATATGGGTATATGTGTTTGTATATGTGTGAACATACACTGTGACATATACATATATGTAAAATACCATTCTAAGGCAATAAATACTACCTATTTATGATACATAATTGCATTAAATTTATAGCCTTTTAAGAATGGAGTTTTGATTTTTAGATAATTTCTTTTAAACAAATTGGTCTTAATGTCATTTACATCAATGTCAAATATATAATTTTGATGCAGATACATGCACAGTTCTGTCTATTGATGTGGGCCCCCTGCCCCCCAAATACCACATTACTTTATTTGAAGGATAGGCTAAGTAAAAAGCTGATACCAATTTTTTTTTCAGATCTCTATAAAAATGGACTACAACGAGCTAACTTTGTACCATTCATAGCTGTTCTGAAGGTAAGGAAAATCACTTACTTGTGTTCACTAATATCATATTGGTTGATAATCGAGGGCTTTTATAAGATTGCTGTGGAATGGCATTCAAGCAGAATTCATTTTGATATTTTGGTAGTAGTAGTGAAAGACATTAAAGGAGAAAATAATCTTTTTTTACAGCATTCATTAAATGTGTAAACAGGGAAAATTATAAAATATAATCTAAATTATTATCTAACTGAAACATTTGGTAGTTTGCATTTTATAAATTTTAATTTGAGGTTTGCTCATAAATATTTAGTGGAATGATTAAACTTATATATTGATTTCTGAAAAAGTGTTTAATATTTCTGTTTCCTTCAAGTTAACATGTTTTTCTAGTTATTAAAATTTCTATTCTAGAATAACATTATTACAAAAATATTCCAATATATTTAAATGTGATTGCCATCAAGTTATCATGAAATTGTATCAAGTTGAGGCACGTAAATAGTTTAAATATTTGTGTGTATCATCACTGCACAGGCTTTAAAATAGTCTTCATTACAATATGATTAAGAATAAAATAGTTTCCCTTTTCATTGTTAGTTTTAAGTGTTTTTTACATGATTACTCAACAATTCCACATTTTACCAATATTTATTGAGAACTTACTATGTGCAAAGTGCAACATGAGACATAATGGATAATATAATCATGAAATAGACTATTTTTTTGCTTGCAAGTCATTTATAATCTAGTTGGACATACATTATGTACAAAAATACCTGTAACACAAAGCAAAATGTAGTAACTACCAAAAGGAAGCATAATTATGTGCCAAAATGTAATTCTCATAATTCTTAGGTACATCATTTTTTTCTAGTCTATAATACATATCTGAAGAAAGGATAAAGTTGTGTTTAAAAAAAAAACAACAAAAAACCTAAAACCTCAAATATTCTTACCAAGAAGGAGGAGTAAAAACACTTATCTTCAAATATTCTAAAGATACAGGCAGACAATTTTTCTGAAATACACCTTAGTTGCAGTTGTTGTTGGTGCCAAACTTTATTCTCTGTGCTACACTTAGGAGACTTCAAACATCTGTTTCCTTGACCGATTTTAGCTTTCCAGAGGATTTTAATTTCTCTGAGGTATTTATAGATGTAAGGAAAAGTACTTTTTGAAAATTATACTGTTAGTAATTTTTCCCCTTTATATTCATGTTCTGCATATGAGGAGAACGTAGCTTTGCAGAATTTTCTCCATGCCAGGAATCCAAAATAATACTGTATACATAGATACCAAATTATAAACAGTGAAATTAAGTAAAATGGGTGCTATAAATAGTATCGTCATATAGCATACAATACATAAAATATAAAAAGAGAATGTTTACAGAATGTTCACAGTTAAAAGGTTCTCAGGGAACTTGGTAGCTGTACTGTTTTTTAACCCCAAACATTAATTTGTCATACATCAATAATAGCATTATTAATAGGCAACTAAATTGGCCATATTGAATTGAATATTTTTCCCTGTCCAACCCTTAATGTTTTTTTTTTGTTTTTTTTTTGAAGAGGAAAGAAAACCAAATAGATGAACAATTCAAATTTGGAATCGAACAAGAACTGAGATAAGCCCTGGTCAATTAGCTTAGTTGGTTAGAGCTTTGTCCAGATAAGCCAAGGTTGTGGGTTTGATCTCTGGTCACAGTACATACAAGAACCAACCAACGGATGCATAAATAAGTGGAACAACAAACTGATGTTTCTCTCTTTCTCTAGCCCTTTCTCTCCCTTATTCTCTCTCTAAAATCAATCAATCAATATTTTTTAAAAACTGAGATAAATAATACACAATTTAACATTGAACATGAACTGAAATCCCCCAGAAAACTAAATACTAGATTGGATGAGAAAAAATATAAAATGTCTCATTTATTCAAAAGACTTGTCACATGTAACAAAACATCACCCCAATGACCAGTACACCAGAGCTGGTTTTCCTGGAGCTCTTTTGGTGGGAGTATGAAGTTTCTATGATAAGGAAATGTTGTATCATATTAATTTAAATGACATTTTGCTGGTTCACATATGTTAATGTTACTCTTTCATTTTGGCCCATCTGAGAGAAATGTATAGCAGAAGTCAATCTTGAAACAAATAGAGAATCTTAATTTAATAAAAATAGATTATAAACAAGATAGAAGTTTACTTTGGGAAAAATACAATATAAAATCCATTTTTCCCTCTACATTCTCCTCTATAAATCAAGTGATAACAAGTTTGTAATTCACTACAAGAACTTGTGATTTGTTGCTTGTACTGTTGAGAAATAAATCAATAGGTACATAATTGATTTATTTTTTATTAATAGCTTATATGTTTTAACAAAAACATATAAGCTATTGGTAAGTAGTATTTTTATAAGATAGGAATGATGAGGAAGATTTTTATGCTAATAAAAGCCATAGGTCCATCAACAGATAAATAAAAAAGTAATATAGTTATACAATGAAATATTGTTCTACCATAAAAAGAAAAGAAATTCTGGCAGAATCTACATTATGGATAATGACTAGGTGAGTCAAGCCAGATACAAAAGGACAAATATTATATGATTCCACTTATATGAGGTACTTATCAAATGCAAATTCATAGTAACATAGATATTACCAGGAGCTGGGAGAAGAGGGGAATGTAGAGTTATTATTTGACCGGTGCTGAGTTTTATGGATAGTGGTGATGGTTGCATAACATCATGGAAGTACTTATGACTGTTGACTTATTCACTTAAAAATGGTTAAAATGCCCTGGCTGGTTTGGCTTAGCAGTTAGAGTGTCAGCCTATGCACTGAAGTGTCATGGGTTCGATTCCCGGTCAAGGGCATGTACCTGGTTTGCAGGTTCGATCCCCGGCCCCAGTTGGGGTCATGCGTGAGGCAACCAATTGATGTGTTTCTTTCACATGGATGCTTCTCTCTTTCTCTTCCTCCTTCCCTTCTACTTTCTCTGAAAATCAATGAAAAAATAATCCTTGGGTGAGGATTAGGAAAAAAAAAAAAGGTTAAAATGATAAATTTTTATGTTAGGTATATTTTATTGCAATTTATAAAAAAGAAAGAAAGCAAACCACAGGACTGGAAAAGATACAGAAAATGCTCATGTACATTTCCTCTAGGAAGCTTTCCTAGACTAAGTCCTTGAAGAAAGCAAAGCAAAACAAAAAACCCAATTCTTACATATCATTTCCACTGCCTTTTAAGTAGGGAGGTTCCTGTTTTGCTTATACTTGTACTTTCTTTGTATTTATTTTACTGTTTTTTCCCTAATTTTCTGAGATTAATTTTTATCTTCTTTCAACCTTCTTTCCTAGGCTATTTATTTTTCTTTAAATAGTTGCATCCATGAAAATTTGATATTTAGTATTGTAATTATCAAGTTTAAAGTATTTTCTGATTTCCATTGTGATTTCTACTTTATCCCATGAATTACTTATAGTATGTTTCTTAATTTACAAACATATAAGAGTTTTGTAGTTATGCTTTTGTTACTGTTTGCTTAACAAATGCTTCATTGCATTGTAGTCAGAGAGTGTATTCTTTGTGACTTAAGTCCTTGCAAATTTGTTGAAACTTGCTTTATGGCCCAAAATGTGGACAATTTTGGTAAATATTCTCTATGTTCTTGAAAATAACGACTACTCCTCAGTTGTGTACTATGTATATGTATGACACAATACATCCATTAAGTAAGGTTTGTTTATTAAATGCTGTTTAAATCTTAGTTCTTATATATTTTTCCATCAGTTATTGAGAGGCTTGTGAAAAGCATCTCCCACTTGGACTGTGAATTTGTCTCCTTTTCTTATAATTTTTTATAGTCCTTAAATCATTGGTGACTATGTTGTAAGTTGCATACAGATTTAAACTTATTAAATTTTGCTCGTGAATAGAACTTTTTCTAATCAATATTATTATTTAGTAATACTCTTTTGTTTCAAGTATAGTCATAATTGCCTGTTGAAGCATTTTCATAATTTTTCATGAGACTTTGGATAAGATCCAAATTGTGATAAAGATCCAATATATTGTTGTGGTAAAATATATGTAAAGTTTATCATTTTAACCATTTTAAGTGTTCAGTGGCATTAAGTACATCCACACTGTTGCGCACCCATTACCACCATCCATCTCCAGAACTTTTTTATCTTTCCAAACTGAAACTTTGTACTCATTAAATAATCACTCTCCATTCTCCTCCCACCTTTAAATCCTGGTAACCACCATTCTACTTGTCTCTATGAATTTGTCATTTCTAGGTACCTAATATAAATGGAATCATATAATATTTGTTCTTTTGTGTCTGGCTTAGTTCATTTAGCATATATCTTCAAGATTTATGTATGCTGTAGCAAGTATCAGAATTTCATTCTTTTCTAAGGCTGAATAATAGTCCATTATATGTTTACATAGTTTTGTTTATCCATTCATCTGTTGATGGACATTTTGATTGTTTCCATCTTTTGGCCATTGTGAGTAATGCTGCTGTGGACATTGGTGTACAAATGTCTGCTTTATCCTTGCTTTCAGTTCTTTTATATATATATACCCAGTCCTGGAATTGCTGGATCACATGGTAATTCTATATTTAATTTCTGAGGAACTGCCATTCTGTTTTCCAAAGCTGCTGTACCATTTTACATTCTCACCAGTAATATACAAGGGTTCCAGTTTCTCCACATCCTCTCCAACACCTGTTCTTTTTTATTTCTTTTTAAAAATAATAGCCATTGTAATTGGTATGAAATGTTATCTCAATGTAATTTTGATTTGAATTTCTCAAATGATTAGTGATGTTGAGCCATATGTGCATATTTGCCATTTGTATATTTGCTTTGTAGATCTTATTTAAATTTCTGTTTTAACTGGCTATTTTTCACACTATTCTGGCAGGAGGAGAGACACTGGGTCATTACTGCCAGATACAGGTAGAAGTTCAGGTCCCCTATACAGCCTCCATTGACCCCTGAGTCAA